CTCCAAAGCTGACGGCGGTTTATGGAAGTCCTTGGAGGGACATATACAGAAGCTATGCAAAGATCTTTGTTCTTAACATTTATTTGGCAAGCGACAATTTCAATGCCTGAAATTATTGGGATTGAGATTTTATAGAAGGGGTAGCACTTTTTTATCCCCAAAAGTACGCCACCCGCCACCATATGAATCATCTCGGTCCAGGCGGATAATGTTAAAATCGTGGAAGTTTAGTTCATCTTCAGAAGAAAGCCAAGTTTCACAGAGTGCAAATATATCACAATCAGAATTGTGAATCAAATACTTGAACGAGTCTAATTTAGGTATTAAACTACGACAGTTCCATTGTAATAAAGTGATCATATCTTGATCCTCACTCGACGAATTATCCATCGAAAGATATGAATTCACCAATGAGGGGCCATGATGCAGTCAATTGCTTGAAGTAGTTTCCGACTATAGGAACAAGCAGGTCAATAAGCCCTCAAAGTGGCGATTCGTCGGGAAAGCCGAGGGCATTCAAAATATTATCCACAATGTCCTTAAATTTAATCTTTCCTCGCTTGGACGGGAGAGTTTTCTTTGAATTGCGAGTAGACGTGGTGTTTATTTTTGGTAACCTCTTACGATTACCTTTATTAGGTAGCGGCGGGGTGGAAAAGCTGCAGCAAGGATCAGATGGAGCAGCAATTACCGATTTGTTCGGCTTTTTCAATGAATCCCCGCTACCTTCAGATTTTTGCATGCTTTTGAGAGTGGTTTTATTTTTTTCCGGCGCACTCCCAGGGAGCTAATCGGCTTCCTTTTACCGGGGGCGTGTACCTCCGGAGACTCACTCTCATCTGCTATGTCAGAGTCCAGTTCATCGGAAGACAAAATCTCAAAAGTGTTTTCATTTTGAGCGGCTGATGCCAACGAAGCAGAGGATCCATTTTGCAACTTAACCATTTCTGCAAACGTCAGCTTGGAGCGTTTTTTTATTGAACGCTTCACATTGTTGGTACGCTTCTTGTACGCGGGGCAGTCCTGCAAAGCATGAAGAGGTTCTTTGCCACAGTAAGCACATTTAGTTGCTTCCTGTTGGCAAGCACCCTCCATGTGGTCTTGGCTACATTTGCCACAACGGGGCTTGTTGTCACAAAAAGCAGCTGTGTGTCCCAACTTTTTGCAGTTGGTACAATTATATACCCTTGGTACAAAAAGTCGCACCGGGAAAAAAAACATTTTCAATTTCTAAGAACTTTGGGAGAACCGATCCAGCGAAAGACACCTGTAGTGAGCCTGAAGGGGAATAAGTCTTTTGACCATCTACCGTGGTCGCTGAATACAATATCCTGCAACCCAGAACGTCCACGGTAGATGTAGCAGCATTTTGAAGGCACCCCATACCTTCCATGACGTCATCACACGTCAGGCTCACTGCAGAGACCACGCCGTCTATCTCCACATCTCGAGATGGGATGTAGACGTAATACTCTTTGTTATAAGCCTCGTCGTCAGCAATATCATTTGCGATATTATATGTAGGCGCAGTTATACGCAGTTTGTTCCGATTGACCTGATGAAATTCGGTCCCCGGGAAACGACGCGTCAATATTCTTTTAATCCCTAAGAAGTTAAGGGCTTTCTCTTTCTGCCGAAAATAGACAACCCAAGGCGAGGCAGAGGACGCCTGATAATGGCGCTTTCTAAGTTTATCATTGGGAGGCTTACTGCCCCCCTTTGAGCCATCCATTAGAAATTAAAAATTGTCGTCAAAAAGTAATTATTATTTTACTTTTTTTTATTAACGAACCACCCTATGTGGAACGATTCTACTGGGGGAGAGACAGATGATCCACAAGCAAACAGTCAGAGGAATTTGGAATACAAAGACAGATACGTGCTACTATTTGCCCTTACCGTTTTTACCGCTATACTGTTGCTGCTCTGCCACAATAGATGCCGGTCGTACACACCGTCCGTGCGGTGGCTCACTGCTTTCTGCTGGTTATTGTTTCCAGTCGTACACACCGTCCGTGTGGTTGTCGTTTGCCGATGTGTATTACACGGCTCTTGCTGCTGACTATGGCTCCGATAAAATCAATTTGATATCTTCGAGCGGGTTAAAGATGGACAGTCCGATCGTAGGCTTCGCCAGGATCGGCTACTTCCTTATGTAATGCGCGAGTCACCTGAGGCACAAAAACTGCTTCCAGGAAAAAAAAACTTTTCGCGGTGAAAACACTTGTATAAATTTCATCAGAAGGGGGATCAAGAGATTGCCCTTTTCTTTGGCATTTAGGCGCCATGGCGGCAGTAAACCGTTTCTCGAAATCGATTGCCAAGTAGATTACAATAAGAATGCGAAGAATCGAAGAGGAATTTTCCAAATCGATATCCTAGAAGGATTACCTCGGGTAGGGTCCAAACAAGGATCGAAGAGGAATAAGAGTATAACAAGTTAAAAATTGTACCGGTAATATTGAGCACTGAAAAGTGCTGTTTAAATTTGTTGTAACGTTAGGTAGCAGTAATACTTCCTTCAGTAAAAAGCGAATAGATCCGCATGGGAAGAGAGCACGATTCTAATTGATCGTTAGGCTTTAAAAGGTTTTAAAAACAGCGTAAAAATGAACTTCTAATCAATGATGTTTTGCGCTATTAAATGCTGTATTCAACTAAAAATACTGCTTATTGCAGTTCTACACACTAAGAAATTATCGCCAATTTCGATATTTTTTACCGAAATCTGAACAGCTGAACTGTTCGGTAAAATTTATGCAATTCATTTTAATTGCTTTTCAGCTACTTTCAAACTAAATCTCCACTAAAATGACAAGATTTTATCATTTAAACAAGGTTGAACATGTTTTGAAATTATTTTCAAATTCAATAGCCTTTAAAATGAAGGTCGAAGTTTTACCGAACGTCAGCTGTTCTGATTTCGGTAAAATTTACCGAACACAAAAACAAAATCTTAGTGTGTAAAACCATAACAATTCAGAGTGAAAACCAACCCGCAGTTAAATTGTTACTTGATAATTTTGTTCTGGAATAAAAAATTTTTTTAAATGTACTTTATTTGTTATTAAACTTGTTAACAGTTTTTTTCCGGTGTGTTTTTTTTATCTGAAAAGGTAATCTAGTTTCCTACAACTTTGTTATAGATGTCATTTGGATTAGAAGAGCCATTTTTGTGCTATGATTTATTGAAAAATATAGAATTCGCCATTTTGCAAAATTAGGTGAGAGTTAAAACGCCCAAATTCCAGCACCAATTTGAATGATCTCCCATAGCGAACAATTATACTATGTTTCATGGAAATTGGAGAGAGTAGTCTGAAACTAGTTTTTTCGCTGTTTGGCGTGGATTTGCTCTTAAGATAAAATCGATGAAGGGAATGAAAGCCCTTTTCTCAAATCAATCGAGTTCATATGGTATCATTCATAATATAAAAAACTTTGAAAACGTCGGTACAGTTATTGATACACTTATCTATAATATAGAATATCGAACATATTATAAAATCGTCCTTTTTGTATTATTTTCATAGTCACTTTAACACTTATGGGTTATTCGTGACATGTTCGGGAATGAGATTTTAACTCGTGACTTTGGCGTGATGTTAACCACTGCACCAAGGCCGTCCCCACATATAATATGAATTAACCTGCAATGCAATATAAAAAGCTTTAGAAACCCTACGGAACCTCTATAGGGGGGGGGGGTGGGGGAATAATTGTTTTTTTTTTCAAGCTTAGGTGATCAATGTTGAGGTTATTTGAAATTTATAACTACATATAATCGTTTTTAAATACGGTGGTTTTATAAATGAAGTCTGCACCCAAATTTTTTTTTCTCCATTCCAGTCTCCAGTGAATAATCACTGTGGTTATTTCTAAAGCAGTAGTTTGCACTAGTTTACAATGCCACTAAAAATAACCACAGTGATTGTTCACTTCCGCGAAGAGATACGCCATACGTTTCCCCCACACGTTTATTATTTTAGTGTGGGGGAAACGTATGGCGTAATTTAGTTAGTTTTCTTTGTTATGGAGACTTTCAGCCGTGGGCTGGGATCGTGTCCTATTCTTCAATTCAGAACATCCCTAAAATTACCAAAAAATCTATGATTTTTCCCATGTTTTTAAAATACCTCTGGAAGAAACCAATTTCAGATTTTCTAGGAACAGATATCACTTAAAAGTGATTCCTACGATTCTACGCGCGGACCGTTCACGGTTGCCGATCACGAATATGGAAACGGATGTCTTTCTCGAGTGAAAGAGGTTTCAGCAAAGTTGTGAAACGCCTTAATCAGAGTAAATTCAGCAAGTGAACATAACGATTCCATAATGGACAATTTAATATTTTCGTAGTGGCAAACACTTGTTACATTTAATAGAGCTATTTGTGTCAGACACCAATCTATACACACGTCTTTAATTTTTTTTTTTGTAGTCACTGAGTGTTATCGTTACTTGTCCGAAGTTGAGATTTTAACTCGTGACATTTGCGCTACTAACTACTACACCAAGGCCATCCCCGTCTTTGAAGAAATTTTGTTTAAGCTATAATATCTATGAAATCATCACCATAAATTCTAAACAAGCAAAATTCTCACCGTGATTTATGTTGCGCACCTTAAAAAAAATCATCAGATAGAATAAATCTAAGATAGAATCAATTACCAATCAAATATTTATAAAACAAAACTGTGAGAATTGTTGCAGCACTTGGTAAAGTGCAAAAACATGTTACTTCGATACCAACGCATCCCACTGATGGTTAGTTGTATCCTTCTAGGCATCTGTATCTATCGCAATTCCGTTTGAAAAGCGTGCAAATAGAATTTCAATGTCTGTGTCAATGTCAGCTGCACGCTTCTCCGGATAGCCAGAAGGGTGATTCGTCCTATCAAAAACTTTCCGAGCACAGTTCATTGGAACTTTAGCACTTGTAGAATAAATTGTCAAAATATTTATCAGAAAATAAACTTAATTGAACAATATATTTTCAGGGACTTCTGATCAGCTGTAACCAGATGTCGGCTGAGTATCTCTTCATGACCGACAAGTTGTATGACATCAGCTACGATACTGGTGACAAAGTTATCCAGTGTGGACGTCACAACGACATTTTCAAACTGTGGCTACAGTGGCGTTCCAAGGGTACCGAAGGATTTGAGAAGCATATGGACCAGATGATGGAGATGGCCGAGTACCAGGTGAAGCGAATCAAGGAACAATCGGACAAATTTTACCTTATCTTGGAACCGGAGTGCGTAAATGTATCGTTCTGGTACATTCCAAAGAGATTACGAGGAGTTCCTCATGACGCAAAGAAGGAAACGGAACTTGGAAAAATCTGTCCCATCATCAAGTCCCGTATGATGCAGTCCGGTACATTGATGGTTGGCTACCAGCCAGACGATCGGCGTCCCAACTTCTTCCGGTCAATTATCTCGTCAATCGCCGTCATCAAGTCCGACGTCGATTTTATGCTCAATGAGATTGACCGTCTTGGTCAAGATCTATAAGGTGGAAACAATAGCAATACTTTATTGGATCTTAATTCGCAACTAGACTTAAATTGGAAGACTCTCCATCTATTCGCTGAGTATCGAGAGCAATCTTGGCGTTTGAAAACAGTAAGAAACTGCCCTGTCACACCTTTTCGACAGTTTCATTGGAGTTCAGAAGAATCGTACATTTGTCAACCAAGGAGTATCATTTTCAATGACATATCAATGACATATTACCTTAATATATAGGTTGAATTTTATTAATTTACAGTTACATATGATCTGCAAACCTAAGAATTTGCAATTTAATATTGACTAGTTAATAGAACCCGCATCTGTTATATTTACCACGTTTTTGTTTGTATGAACATATCGTTGGTTTTAACATAAAACTAACGACATAAAATCAAAATTCAAACCACGCGTTTATGGATATATCCAAACGAACAAACTGAAACGAAGTCTCTTAACAAATTACAACTAAACCATAGTAAAAGTATTTACGGAAATTGACTGTTGCGAACGATTAAACCAGAAAGAATTATATATACAAAATATATATACTATATACAGAGTACACGCATTCTCCCATTATCTATATACATGTTCATCCTGTTTCGCAATTGAGTACTGGTGACAGAAATAATGTACCTTAAAGGCATAAATTCAAACGGTTAATTTGTTCGACACAAGGGTCTGTTTCAATAAATTTCTGTTCATTTTCCATCCAATGAGCAAATGAACATTTCATCAATGTGTAGTGTGCAATAAATGAACTAATGTTAAAACGAACGGTGAGCATAACTCAACGGAATATATGTATAGCTGTACTATAAGATTATTTATTGATTTCGTTGAATGTTCCTTTGCCTCTGCTCACGGTTACGTTGTGAATGATGTAAATATAACTGCGCTAGTATTACACAAGAAACAAATTGCTTTAAACTCATATTCCCACAGCCAGAGGAATTGGAAAGATGAACGCTATAACGACTGAACGTTTCAAAAGATTGTTGACTAGAAATGCGTAATGAAACTGATTGTGCGCTTGTTAATATCGAGTATTTGCCAAAGATCTACTTTCTAAATTCAGTTACAAATCCAACTTGAGTTTATCCTCCAACGATCGAAATATCTTTAGCGACTGACACAAAGTGTAATTCAATCTAGCGTAATTAAACAATGAAGTGCTTGAAGTTTTATCACCTATACAAAGTTAAGTTTGAGTATGGAAATTTATTTAGACAGCTAGTAGTTTGATTCCAAGCATGTATTGATGCATATCTTTTAGGGTTCGAAAGCACTAGAAAATCAAGAGAGAAAATGAACAACAAAATCACAAAGTCTTCCTTCAAACGAAATGTTAATTAAACCATGATTCCCATTCATTCTCAGATACCTTCTATCGTGGTGAACTAGGGCAATGTCAACTTTAATGATAATAATGGTATTGAATAGCAGCTTGAGTAAAAGCTCTACTTCACCATCATGTATATTACATCTCGAGAGTGAAGGGAATCATAAATCGTATATTAAAGCAACTTAAGAAGAACAAATCATACTAATTAGTTGCTTGATTTGTTGAAACAGAACAAACTTGTTTAATCAGTAACAAAACAACAACATTGACACATGTATCATTAGAGAAAATTTAGAAAAAAAGAAAAAAAAAACACATGTAATTTCAAATTGAAACTCCAACGAAAGCATCTCCCAAACGTGAACGGTGTCGCGTAAGCTCGCCGATGGTTTTAACAAAAAAAAAAAAATCAACATAAGCGTGAGTAATAATGTATATGAAACAATTGTCGTGAGACAACATCGAAAACTAAGAATCAAATTAAACTTTGACAGCCCACTAACTATAGACCACTATGCCAACTAAGACACAATAGATGTTATGTGTTGTTTAAACGAAAGATAAACCAGGAAATGCAATTGTGAAATATGCAAAGAAAAAAGTTAATAAATATCTGTAACCCACAACCGGAATGCTTTTTTTTATGCAGCTGTAGCCCCTCCCCTCCGCGCATCACACTTTTATCATTCAATAATTTCGCGTAACCATAATTTCACATCCACATCCACATCTTATTCATCTTCAAGATGGATGTTTATGGTATACTTTCGTGCAATAAGGCCACTGCAAAAGGGCATGGGTTTCGTAGAACATTAGTCTCCCCCTTCTACTCTGCACGTGCGAGTGATACAAACTATTGGCAGGACTTGAAAGCAGTATTGTAACCAGTGGTGTGTCTATCTGTCTAAGATTGTTGAGATTGTCGCGAATTTAGTGTTTCGATTTAAATGTTATGAATGCCAGGATCTCTTCTTTTTATTCTGTACGTAAACGACATTTCCTTCATTCTCAAAAAAATAAAATTGCTAATCTATGCCGACGACATGAAGCTCTTTTTGGAAATAAAAAATGATGAAGACATCAATATATTCCAGAGTGAAATACACATATTCTACACATGGTGTAAAAAAAGCCTATTAGAACTGAATGTAAAAAAATGCAACTTAATATCATTTAGCAGAAAAAGAACACCATCAAACATTTCAATTGCATTAGGAAATCAGAATGTAGAAAAATGTGAAAGAGTCAGGGATTTAGGGATTATCTTAGACTCCAAACTAACTTTCATAGACCATTACAATACAATTATTCACAGGGCAAATAACATGCTAGGCTTTATCAAGCGCTTTTGCTATAACTTTCAGGACCCATACACAATTAAAACACTATATATTGCCTATGTGAGGTCAATACTGGAATATTGCAGCATTGTATGGTCTCCATTTTCAATCACGCACGAAGAAAGATTAGAATCAGTACAAAAGCAATTTCTATTATATGCCCTTCGTAAATTAGGTTGGACATCATTTCCTCTTCCATCATATGAAGCACGCTGCATGCTTATAAACATACAAACATTAAAAGAGCGTCGTGAATATGCAATGGTTTCGTTTGTAAACGATATCGTTTCGCAGCGCATTAACTCAGCAGAACTTTTATCAAAATTAAATTTTTATGTACCTACTCGACAACTCAGAAATCGAAATTTATTTGCCGTAACCCATCATCGCACAAATTATGCAAAGTTTGGGCCATTAAATCGCATGATGGCGTCTTACAATCAATACTGCGAAACCATTGACTTTTCAATGTCTCGGCATAAACTAAAACAATATTTTAACTCCATACGGAATCATAACTCGTAGGAAGTAAAAATATAATAGCTGACAATATATTTTTTAATATTCTTAAGAAAAACAAATTTGTATATGTATTTGTACTAGTCTACATCGGTTGATGAAATAAATAAATAACTGAAAGGATTCAAATATTAGTGCCAACACCGCCCACCACCCACTGGACAGCACGCAACCACTCCGCGAAGTTCCGCTACTCACAGCCAGATGCCGCTGACAGCAGGATTGGGAGGCCATCGGGAGGTGGTGTAAAGGGGCCATGATGGGGCGAAATTGGGCTGAAGGAAAATGGATCAACGATCGAGAGCGCAAGAAAATCACCCGCCATCGTTGCTAGCTAATTGCCTGGCGAAAGTAAAAAGTGGTAGTCGAAAACCAAGCTAGACAAACTCAAATCAAATGTGATATACATCATAGTGAAAGATTGTTATTCGAGTTAAAGTTATTAGTCTGCACGAGTCTTGAGGCGCGAAGCTCGATCAGTAGTGGAGGAGGAGCCAACCTACTGAAATATCCAGGTAAAAACCCCTTCAAGCCAAAACCCGAATTGCCCTCATCATTAACCGCCATCATGGTATCCTATTGTGCCCACAGGACCCCGTAGTTTACCGTTTACCGTTATCATTATCTACGGCGCGAACCAGCCGCGTTTACTAGTCCGTGTTCATCGCCATTGTGGATCGGCCTTGAGCGTCGTGGACACGTTATACCGTTCGCGAACGGCTCGGCAAACGGTACCGGGGGAGCACCCGTAGCAGAAGAGGAGAGAGAAGGGTTAAGAGGTGAATCGACTGGGCAACCAACAGTCGAAACCGAGGGACGAAGATCAGAAGCAAAGGAAAGGAGAAAGTGAAGGTGAAGGTGTAGCGGAACGGAGGAGAAGGGGGCCCCCATCGACAACGGAAGACGAAGGAAGAACTAGTGAAGGCTAAGGTAGGAGATAACCGCCATAAGATTTTCTTCGTCCTACGAATAAACGTAGAAAAAGGGGATTCGCTAGGAGCGCTTCTCTTGGTTTGAGAACAATGAGCGTAAATATTCATACAATGCGCTCTAACAGGATATATGTTGTAGCTAATGAACTAACGTATCGAAACAACCTTATTATTGATTTGTGCACAGTGAAATCATTTATATTATTGATCTTTTCTGATCGATAGAACGGAAATGGACGATTACGACAAGGTAGTGCTCTAACCTACTTTTTTAGGTAAATTTTCCGATTTTTATTTCCTTGATTTGTTTTCCGTCGATCTTGTTTTCCGTGCTGAACACCAATGCTACCGACGCCATGGAGGCAGTTCCCACACCTGGACCCTACCTATCGACCCATGCTATAAATGTTATAAATTTTTTAATTTTTTTTAATTTTAAAATATTCCATAAAGATAGCATTTGGTTATCGATGGTTCTGTTTTGATATTTCCATTTAAAACTAAAAAACATGAAACAGGAACTTAAATATGGAGAACTTAAGACCTGTGAAGACTCCGATGGATACGGGAGAATCCACTTTGGAGAATCCGGACAACAAGAAATTTGACATCTTGCCGACAATGCCAGACCCGACTTGTCCTTGTGTGGCTTCTGGGTATAAAATTCAGTCTGTCAAATAATATGTATTGGTCAGCGGCAAAACGTGGTCTACCGTACCTTGATGCGACGAAGGAATGGAAGCTCCGGTACGGATCAAATGGAAACTGAACGCCTTGGATATACTGATTCCGGTTGGGCTGGTAATAAACAGACTAGACGCTCGACAACTGGTTTCGTTTTCTTCTGCGGTAACGGTCAAATCAGCTGGATGAGTAAGGTGCAAGTTTCGGTAGCTTTATCATCTCTAGAAGCGGAATAAAACGCACTCACCTTGGCCTGTCAGAAGATAATATGGGTGAATGAGGTTGGACATCCTCAAAGCGAACCGACGAAACTATTCGAGGACAATCAAGGATGTTTTAGTTTCACCAAGGCGGAGAGGGGTAATGATCGAATTAAACATATTGACACCAAACGGAATTTTGTACGGGAACTATATGATCAGAACATCGTGAAGCTTGCGTACTGTCCAACCAACGAAATGATCGCCATTGCTTTGACAAAGTCTGTCGACCCCACCATGTTGCAGAAATTAACAACTACATTACTACACCGGTTTACAGCCGTAAACTGATTCAGCCAAGGGGGAATCAACTCTGCACACCTCAATCTGTGCCGATAATTTTCACTGTGCCGAAAGCTATGCCAAACGCTGTGCCAAAGCGTGTCAATCAAGTATCCCATGAGTTTGGCAACCCTGAAGATTAAATAGTGATGGTTCAAAAACGAAGCGTGATAAAAATAAATTTATGTATGCAGCCTAAAATCACTACTACTGCACGGAAATTTCACCAGAATAAGCAAACCAAACCAAATATGTTCCAAGAAGACTGATTGTAGCCCTGGTGCAAATCGGTTCCTTAGTTATACTCCGTCGGATGGATTCCGGAAAGCTGGATGTGGTTCTTTATCCGTGGTGTTGACTATGAAACAGTCCAACAACGATAACAACTGCGAGGTGGAGGTGGAACTGTTCAATCGGCTGCAAGCAGAGGATGGCTACATGAAGATTAGCGGGGGTTTGAACAACTTCGAGGTGTCGAATGAGATTCTGTTGTATGCCAAGGGGACGGTTCGAAGAGGTTAAAGATCGGGTTTACGTTGTTGAAATGTATTCAGATATACCTTGATGTAACGTAATTGTCACTTTTGATTTCCATCCCTGATTTCCAGCTTCCCTAATAAAAATTGTATGGTTAATTTGCTTAAAGACGTGTTCGGGATATCATCCAAACCATTTGTAGAATAGTTAAGTGATTTGGGTTATCGTTCGTTTATGGTATTTTTTTATTAGGGCTATTACCATTAAATCAAGCAATGCAATAATACCGTCGAAGATATGAGACAATGGTCCATCTATTGTTCATTTCTATTTGAATAAGTGAACTGTTATTTGTGAGATATCGACGATGGAAGTCAAAAGTAACAGTTACTTTATATTGAGGTATACCTGTATTGTTAGACGAATAAAACATAAAACAATGTTTAAAGAAAGCCTATCTAATATGCCGAAGACTGCACATTAGAGTATCATAAACAGGATGAGCTAGCGGTGGCTATGAAGAGCGCTCATCCGAGGAGGATTATTTGTATGACGCTATGTATTGGCCACCGTGTCTGTGAAATTGACCCATTTAAACCGTGATTTCCGATATTGTCGCTACCGGAAACGACAAGTAATTGTTGCAATCACATTGATTGCAAAAGTGGATGACCCTGAAGGTAATCTAGTTCTTGCTGTTGCTGGTTATGATCTTGGTGCTGCTATTTATCACCACACTTTAACAACTCTTGCAGAGAATTAGACGAAGTACTGGTTGCAGAAGAGTTCCTAGCAAAGTCCTATAGGTTTGACTTCTAATCTGGGAAACGATCGTCTAGTCCGATAGTTTATTAAATTCATTCTGAAGCGAAGATCAGCGACTGTCAACAAAGTGCGAAACCTTAGTACCTATTGAAAAATCGTCAGTAAAAAACGGTGATGCCGTTTTATAATATATTCTGTGTCATTATTGCCAATTTGTGCCCTAGCGAGCCGAGCAGTGTGCAGTGATGTGTTTCGGCACAGTATGCAGAGTTTATTACCCCTTGGATTCAGCACTCATCCAGGAGGAGTGAATCACCCTTCAAAGAGAAAAAGTGAGCAGTGTTTATTTAATATTTTTGCCAACACA